TTTTTTGGTTACCTCTTATACGCCAAACACTCTTCTTCTGGCCACTGGGAATTCAGAAGTAAACAAAAGAGATGTCTCTTCTCCCTTGGCATTTCCATTCTAGGGCTGGGGGTGGGGAGACAAATATTTTTTTTAGCTGGCAATAGGTGCTAGACAGAAAAGGTTTTAAACATGTGATAGGATTGCAGGAGGTTTGGTTTAGATTGGTCGGCCAAGGCAAACTTCTTAGAGAAAGTGTTCTCTAAGGAGAAACCTGAATGACAAAGAGTTAGCTGCATAAACATCTGGGAGAAAAATATTCCAGCAGGTAAACAGGGAGTGCAAAGGTTCAAAGGAAGGAATGAAACTGGCACATTGGGAGAATAAAAGGAAGTCAGTATGGCTGGAACTAAGTGAACAAGGCACAAAGAATACTTCCAAGATGAGGTCAGAGAAGTAAGCGAAGACCAGACCTCATGAAAGCCTTGTTTGGAGAAATAGTGCAGAACTAATTATCAGGGGCCAGTGGCATTTTCCCCCGCTCTGTTCTTTTACAGTAGTAATGATCATTTCATCTTTCTGATAATAGAATTTCTTGAGCAATGTGGTTTCCACTGACTCTTTAAAAGCTAGATCCTCTATAGTTGCTTTCTCATGAATTTCCACTCCTTAGGGAAAGCAACAAATAGACATCCCTCTTTAGAACCATCAAAACTGAAGGGTATAGAAGCATGACACAGAAAACCGTGTGAGTCCAATCTTGACTGTAAACAGTTTACCCCCCTGAAATATATTTTCTACAACTTAAGCTGAATCTAAGCTAGTAAGTACTCTTTAGGGGACCAGAAAGAGAAGGCAGCCAGAACAATTCTATTTCAGGGTTTTCCACCGAACTCTGAGTTGTTCCACTCCTGGACTTTAGTCAACTGTTGGGTTCCACTACCACCCCCCCCCCCGCCCCCCAGCTGTTATGTGAATTAAAAAACAGATCATTAGAGAAGTCTTGATTCAAATTCAAGATTATGTATTCCATATATCACAGTGGCAGGACTGGGTTCGTAAGTATTGAGACCAAAAGCAAGCTAAACAATTGTGTAAAGCTAGTCCCAGGGGCTGAAAGCAGAAAACCAAGTGACTACAGCGGTGTGAGAGGTAGAGCCTCACTCCACCAGGGCTTAGAACTTGACGCCAGCTGGCTGTATTTCATCTTCACTTGTGTGACATTGGCGCAGGTACTTTAACTTCTCTGGCCTGTTTCCTCAGCTCTAAAACAAGGGAGTCCCTTCCAGCAATACGAGTGTAAGAACTGCTAGCTTTTGCTTTGCCAGTAGAAGGCTCATGAAACTCCAAAACTCATGTGTAAAGTTACTAAACAAATAGAGTATCATCTTCCACTAAAATGCAAGATCAGTAGCCCCAAGTCTAACTGATGTTTGCTCAAATCCAAAGTTATTCTACTAGCTTAGAAGGGCAATTTCTGGGATGCTTAATCATATTGGGATTGTGGATGGGTTGTCTCCTTAGGCAAAAAGCTGCTTTGGAGAAACATCTTCATTTCCATCAAGATCTCTGTAAGGAAGCCAGTGCCCTGCGGTGGACACACAACATTTCCAGATCGTGGGTCTACTCGTACTTCCAGTTCCTACACATACCCAGACCTTAAGGCTAGAAGAAAACTAAAAAGTAAGTTGAGAGGTAGTGACAGAAAAAGAGAAACTTCTATAATGATGTCCCATTTCATCTGGTTCACCTCAACCCACACCTCACTTCACTCTAGGACCTCCATTCCCACCACCCCTCCCGACCACACATGTGACTTAACTCATTTAAACTCTTCACTCACCTAAATCCTTTATGTTCTCTAGAACCACATAAATCCAGAAGCTTTGGTGCCTAAAACTGGCCAATAATTTCATTTGTTGTTTGAATTTCAGTAAATTCAGTTGAATTTCAATTAGTAAGACTTACATCATCTTAAAAGATGGTCAAAGTATTTCACTTCACAATGTGTCTGAAAGAATTGCAGATGTATGGAAATTCGATAATGCAAACAATTCTGAATAAGCTAAGCAGTTAGTTCATATATTGAGAACTTTATTGTCTCTTTAAAAGGCAAAACCACATCCATTTCAGCCTAAGAATCTAAAATGTAATGTCCGTTTAAAACAAGGTAATCACGGGGCGCCTGGGTGGCTCGGTCGTTAAGCGTCTGCCTTCGGCTCGGGTCATGATCCCAGGGTGCTGGGATCGAGCCCCGCATCGGGCTCCCTGCTCCGCGGGAAGCCTGCTTCTCCCTCTCCCACTCCCCCTGCTTGTGTTCCCTCTCTTGCTGTGTCTCTGTCAAATAAATAAAATCTTTAAAAAATAAAAAAAATAAAACAAGGTAATCACTTGATAAATGTTCATTTGAGCAAAATGAGCCGTTTTGTTGAGAGTATTCTCACTTCCTCAAAATATAGATTCTAGAGCTGCACTGGCCAATAAGTAGCCACATGTTAACTATTTAAATGTATGTTAAAACATTCAAAGTAGCCACATGTAACTATTTTAATGTACATTAAAACATTCAATTCTCCAGTCACACTAGCCATGTTTCAAGTGCTCAACAGCCACATGTAGCTACTGGCTACCTTATTAGTGCAGATGCAGAACATTTCCATTCTCACAGCAAGTTCTACTGGACAGCACTGTTCTAGACCCCTGGTAATGATCAAATCTGGAGGGTTTGTTCCTGTGCCTTTAAGATCCAATCACTCACATAATGTCCCCACTTTTTTTTAAGATTTATTCATTCATTTATTTAGAAAGAGAGAGCATGTGGTGGGGTGGGGCAGAGGAAGTCTCAAGTAGACTCCGCACTGAACAGAGAGCCCGAAGTGGGGCTTAATCTCACAACCCTGAGATCGCGACCTGAGCTGAAACCAAGAGTCTGACTGACGCTCAACACACTGCGCCACCCAGGCGCCCCCGTAACTTCCCCGTTTTTTAAAATCATACTGACACTATTAAGGTATAGTCTTGATTAGATAATTCTTCTTTAACATCTCTTTAAATATCAAGTATCTAATTAAAGTACCTATCCTAGAATGATCATTAAAAGGGATGAAAGATCTTTACAAGCAAGACACTTAAGAGGATGTTAAAGCAAGCAGTATCTGAACCTGAATTTTCCCACAAATTTCCTTTGTGGGAAATTCCTCTATACTCCACAGCCTGCAACTGAAAAACTTAGTATTTGCAGATGATTCCCTCAAAATTTCTCACCAAAACTTGTAAAGTATTTGCTCTCTACAGGAACTGTACTTCTACAATCCAGAAGTCAAGCTTAATTTTGATTAAGTATTGCTATTATTGGACTTGCTTAGATTTGATGCTTATTTTTAACTTCTTGCTTTATGTAAAACAGAAATAAAATGGCCAAAATACTGGCTATCAGTCATAGTGATTTTAAATATGTCACAAACTTTTTCTCGAAACTGTCCATCCTACTTGCACATTCATTCATTCATTCAAGTCATTCAGTAATGCTTAAGCAGATGAGAAAGGAGCATGTCAAATAATACGGAAGAGCATGCAAGGAAAACACCCTTGTGGGGGAAATTACCATTACCGACTTTATTTTCTCCCTTCTTTGACTAATTTAGGATGTTGCAGTCAAGCACCAGGTGGAGTGGCTACACTAAATGTTATTCAAGGTCCCTTTCCAAATCTGATGTCCTATAAAATTGTTGCTGTGAAAGTCCTATTTTACCAGCACTACTACACCAGATAAGCACATTTTACTAAGTTAACCATAGCAGAATGCAGTGTATTTAGAATTCTATAAACTAAAAAAATAAGATGATTTCCCCAGTAGCTAAGCTCCACCACCTAAATGCTAAGAGCTTTCAGACAGAGATGCAAACAAAATTAAGATACCAAACTACATACGCATTTTGAATAGCTCAAATAGCCTGTCAAGTTTGTTACTCAGGCCTGACAGAAATATGCAATTAGGATTTTCCAGAAATGGACCCCATTCCTAGTCACTATTTAATATAATAAATGCCAGGGACAGTCTAAACGCTCTAATTTACCTTAACTATACATGTACAATACAAATAATTTTTCAGTTAGGATCAGACGTAAGAATTTATAAGGCAAGCCAATTATTTTTTAACAGGTGACTTGAGTAGGGTATTTAAGCTGAAACGGTTTATAAAATTAGAGATAGGTTTTATTTGCTCTTCTAAAGTACTCAGATGAGGGCGCCTGGGTGGCTCAGTCGGTTAAGCAACTGCCTTCGGCTCAGGTCATGATCCCAGGGTCCTGGGATCGAGCCCCACATCAGGCTCCCGGCTCCACAGGAAGCCTGCTTCTCCCTCTCCCACTCCCCCTGCTTGTGTTCCCTCTCTCGCTGTGTCTCTCTCTGTCAAATAAATAAATCTTTAAAAAAAAATAAAAAAAGTACTCAGATGACATTCTACCTGGGATAACATGAAATTGGATTATGTGTATGCATACATATACTAAATTCTGTGATTTGTTAAAGAGTTAAAAGGTTAAGCCCTCTAACAGGCACTAATTTGGTACTTTAATTTTACACAAAGTTTAAATATTTAAAACATAAAAGGAAAATATAAACAAAGTATACCAAACCTTAACTAAGCAGAGAACATGTTGTAAATTGTTAAAGACTTAAGATTATCAATATGAATCAATTAAGAATTTTTGGCATACCCATTTATTCAACATGATTGGGTAACTGTATCATAGATATGCACCATACAGGAATATCCAGTTTCAAAAAAAAAACAGAACACTGAGTATTTAAGAAGGTAGCGTGGCCTTAAACAAACCCTTAATTCAAAGGCACTTCAGTAGCTTTCAGTGCTTCAAAGTCATGATCATCATCACTGTACAGTACTGAAAAATTTATTTGTACCATGTACAAACAATAATTTCCAGTATTATGCAAGAAAACTTTGTTATAGGCATTTTCTTTTTTCTTTCTATACAATTAAAAATAAAATAAACATTAGTACGGTTTTTACAAATATTTTGTTTATTTTAATGAAGCTGGTACAGACAATGTCCATTTAAAACCCATATCCCAGGCCAAAAAGTACAAATAAAATCAAAAAGAGCAGTGTTCTGTTGAATACACTTCTGCATGAATAACTTTATTAAACTGCTAATGAAAATTAGAACTTTTCTGGGATCTTCTGACAAGACTTTTCTTTAATCTTAAAATGCTTTCTCTTCAGTGAAGCCATCTTTGGAGTTAGTCATTACTCTCACCATCTCTGTCATCTCGACTCCAGCCTGATATTTCTCTTCTTTTGGTCCAGACCCTCAAATTTTAAAGGTAGCTTCAAGTTAAGGAAAGGTCATTTTTCCACAGTTCAGTTCTCTGAAAAACTTCCATCTCCCACTGAAAGTCATAGTCCAGGAGTGAAGCAATCACATGCTAGAACTTCAGGGCCAATTGGAAAGTCATCATGAACACTCACATTGGTCGATCTTACTTATCACAAGCCTGAAAATGTACAGTCCTGGAAAAGGTGGCCTCTCTGTGCACACACGTAATTTTTAAAAAGGAGAGGGCAATATGAAGGGGGCTGAGGTTTGATCACCAAAAATCAGCACAATGAAAACAAGTGATAATGAATAATGGGCACTAGAATTCAAATTACCAGATGTTTTAAAGAGATGGGGTGCCAGTTTTCAATTCCGTTTTGAACACCACATTACAAAAGAACTATTTTTAAAAATAAAAAAGGATTGAGGGTAAAGAAAAAAATAAAAAGAATATCTAAATCGTTGAATGACCCCCTGTTTGTTCCTGATAAACTTCAATCACATCTTCTTCCTCCATTCCCAGCTGTAAGAGGATAAAAAAATGTTAGAATTTATAAAAGTACTATTTTTTAAATTGGCTGCAATTATGTGGCCATTGTTTTAAAGTACAAAAAGATACAAAAGTGATCCATAGTTCCCTGTTCTAAGATAAAGAATCTGGGGGGCACCTGGGTGGCTCAGTCGTTAAGCGTCTGCCTTCAGCTCAGGTCATGATTCCAGAGTCCTGGGATTGAGCCCCACGTCCGGCTCCTGGCTCAACAGGGAGCCTGCTTCTCCCTCTGCCTCTCCCCTTGCTCGTGCTCTCTCTCTCTCTCTCTGTATCTGTGTGTCTCGAATGAATAAATAAAATCTTAAAAAAAAAAAAAGAATCCGGTTTCCTTTAATCTAAAGAACATAGAAGTATGTCTTTCCTCCTAATTCTGTCTGTGAAGTCATTCATTTGACCCTGCTGAGCAATTTCACCTCCCAGTTTATTCAACATATAAAGTGTGTTTTTAATTTATTTCTTAGAGAGAGAGTGTGCGTGAGTCGGGGGAAAGGGGGACAGAGGGAAAAAAGAGAGAATTTTAAGCAGGCTCAGTGTGGAGCCCGACGTTGGGCCCAATCTCACAACCCTGGGATCATGACCTGAGCTGAAATTAAGAGTCAGATGCTTAACCCACTGAGCCACCCAGGCGCCCCTAAAGTGTGCTTTTTAAAAAACACCTCAAAAGACTTTTAAATCTAATGAAACATGTATTTAAGCAATAGTTTGATGACGTCTTTTCTAAAAAACCACTTTATATCTAGATGTAATTACTTGATAGAATCTCTTTATTTCAAAAAACCTGATCTCACTTTGAAATATATGTGGTTTTAGTTAGAAAAATACTGCCTAAGGATTCATTCTGAAGTGGTTTGCTTTGTCATCTGCAATTCCTTCTGGCATATAACTATTATTTTGATAGTGACCACTATGAATGTAGAAGCATCATCTATCATCTACTCTTATTCAATAACTTAAGTTTTATAAGCTAGATTTGTCATGGTCAGCCTAGTCCTCAATCCTTAAAGAAAAAAAGGGGTCCTTCAAAATGCCTTTTACAGAACACTAAGCAAAGCAGACACAATTATTGTGTGGTGGGGTTTTTGGGTTTTTTTTTTTTTAATGTGTTCTATATGCACTGAAATATTCTGGAATTTTTTCTTAAAGACATTATTAACAATGGCTGCCTCTGAGAAGTCGGAATGCAGAGATATTCAGAGTATATTTACTTTTCATTTTATAAACTTCAGTAGTTTGCTTTTTATTACTTTTATTTTTAACTATGAGTATCCTTTATTTAAAAAAGAAAAGAGTACATAAGCGGGCATGGTGTCACACAGAAACCCAGGTATTACCCTCAGTGAAGGTAAAGGAACATCAATCTGTTGATTCTGGTGTGCAGTCAGGGTTCAGAAGCACTGTAACAGGCAGACTGAAAACAAAAACTAGCATATTCCACTAAATTACAGTAGACCACAAAAGCAAATGAAAAATAAAAGGAAAGTCTAGGATCAGTAATCTCTAATGAGAAAAGTTGCAGGTGACATTTTTGGTGAATTACAAAATGTGAAAAAAATACTCTAAGAAATTTAAAAATAAAACAGACAGAGGGGTGCCTGGGTGGCACAGTGGGTTGAGCGTCTGATGCTTGGTTTGCACTCAGGTCATGATCTCAGGGTTGCGAGATAGAGCCCCCACATCGGGCTCCACACTCAGGTGGAATCTGCTTGAGATTCTTTATCTCTCACTCCCTCTATACCTCGGTCCCCATGCTCATGCTCTCTAATAAATCTTAAAAAAAAAAAAAAAAGACATGGATTTAGGACTTTTTAAGTGATTAGGCTGGCTCTAGTGTTATGGATATTTTGTTTGTGGTATATATATGAATATTAAAATAATAAAGATGCTATTAAAACTTCATTTAAAGATTTTATTTTTCAGTAGTATCTACACCCAACGTGAGGCTCGAACTCACAACTCCAAGATCAAGAGTCACATGTTCCACTGAGACAGCCAGGTACTCCAAAACTTAACTTTAATTGCACATATGATAGCCTAGTAAATATTGCAAGGAATAAAATGCCAAACATTACAAGAAACCTTCAAGTCAGGAAGGCAGTGCATATCCTCCAACTATGGAAAATGTGAAGCAATCAGCTTCAAGAAATACCTTTGTAGAGATGAATGAACAACAGTACCAGGAGTTACTCCCTAAATACCTACTGTCTCCCTCTGCCCCATTAAAAACTTCTGAAAAGATAATTTTAATGACAGGGAGGAAAGTGTCACTAAAAATGTAGTCAATATCTACTGTGTTGTAGAGATGATATCAAATTAGGACAGGGAAAATACAAGATGAGTTTGGAACATCTTACTGTGCCAGACATTAAGAAGATACTCAAGGGGCCCCTGGCTGGCTCAGTCAGTGGAGCATAAGACTCAATCTCAGGGTTGTTGAGTTCAAGCCCTACCATTAGGTGGATTACTTAAAAAAAAAAATCTTAAAAAGAAAAAAAAAAGTACTCAAGAAAGTAGGTGGATACTAAACCAGGGAAAAGTTTTAATGACAAAGAGGATATTCACATAGTCGCAAACTATGTCCCCACAAACTACAACAGGAAAAATAACTACACTGTAAAAAAAGAAAACAGTTAAATTGAGTGATAAAAATAAACATTATCACTGTTTATTGATAATAAAGAAGGGACTGACTTCATGTATTCCAGATATTACACCCTAAGAAAGACACATCACCATATGTGGTATTCTAGTCCAAAATGCAGAATCTGAATCTAATCATGAGGAAACAGACCAGCCCAAATTGAGGGACTTTGTAGAAAATAACTGGTTTGTATCCTTTAACAATGTAAATGTCATGAAAGACAAAGAAAGACTGAGGAACTGTTCCAAATTAAAGATGATTAAAAAAAATTTTTTTAAATGATTAAAAAGACACCTAAAGGGCGCCTAGGTGGCTCAGTTGGTTGGGCGACTGCCTTCGGCTCAGGTCATGATCCTGGAGTCCCGGGATCGAGTCCCGCATCGGGCTCCCTGCTCAGCGGGGAGTCTGCTTCTCCCTCTGACCCTCTTCCCTCTCATGCTCTCTCTCATTCTCTCTCTCAAATAAATAAATAAAATCTTTAAAAAAAAAAAAAAAGACACCTAAATAAAATATCTTGATACTGAAACAGATCATGTGATGGAGGAGAAAATTTGTTATAGGAGACATAACTGGGACAAATGATAAAATTAGGTTGTAAAGTATTCTAACAGTGTTAAGTGTCCTGAATTTAAGAGTACTGTGGTTATGTAAAACAATATACTTGTTCTTAAGAAATACACAGTAAAATATTAAGTAGTAAATGACAGTGGTGTGGGCAATCTACTCCCAAGTGGTTCCAGTAATAAATACACACATAAATGGGCAGAAGGAAATAACTAAGTGAAGGTAGCAAAACGTTAAAAACAGGCCAAACCAGGTGAAAGACAGTACAATTTTTAGTACTATTCTTGTAAGTTTTCTGTAAGATGAAAATTATTTCACAATAAAAACCTGTCAAAGAGAACACAGACACCAACTTGAAGGGGCCCCCACTGGCCAATCTCTAAAGAATATTCATACAGTTTCGAAGTATCTCCCCACAAATTACTTATTAATTAAAAAGGAAAATAGGGGCGCCTGGGTGGCTCAGTCGTTGGGCGTCTGCCTTCGGCTCAGGTCATGATCCCAGTGTCCTGGGATCGAGCCCCGCATCGGGCTCCCTGCTCCGCGGGAAGCCTGCTTCTCCCTCTCCCACTCCCCCTGCTTGTGTTCCCTCTCTCGCTGTGTCTCTCTCTGTCAAATAAATAAATAAAATCTTTAAAAAAAATAAAAAGGAAAATAATTTGACAGCAAATAAATCTGGCAATTACCACCTTAACTAAAGTTGACCAAAGTTAATGTTACCCATAACAGGACAAATGGACATCATGTACCTCCTGATGTGATGCACTTGGGAGTACATAGCTTCACTCTGTGCTACTCCTACCAAAAATGCAAAACTGAATCTAATCATGAAGAAACATCAGACAAACCCAAACTGAAGGACATTCTAAAACATGGCGCCTGAACTATTTAAAAATGTCAGTGTGATTTAAAATGAAGACTGAGTATTCCAGATAAAAGGAAGCTAAAGAGGAATAATAACTAGTTAGAAGACACTATCCTAGATGGGATCCTAGGTCAAGTTTTTTTTTAAAAGCTATAAAGGACCTTACTGGGATAAATGGCAAAATCGGACTATTTCGACTGCATATTTGGTAAGAGTACCATAGCAATGTCAAATCTCCTATATTTGATAATTTAACTGTGGCTCTTAGGAGACAACCAAAATATTTAGGGATAAAAGGTCATAATATCTGCAAATTAATCTCAAATGATCCACCAATAATGATAATATGTGTATATAGAGAAAGTGATAAAGCAAATGCATCATAATGTTAATAATTGGTGAATCTAATGAAAAGATTATATGGGAGAATATTATACTAGTCTTACAACAACTCTAAGTTTGAAATGTTTTCAAAATAAAAAATTAACAATACATCATTCCCACTATCAGAAATATCAGAAATGTTGTTTTGTATTTGGAGGGAGAAATCTGTATAAATATAAAAGCACTCACATATACACACTCTCTCCCATACTTTATTACTTTCGGATACCTCTAAGGGGAGTGGGGATATATAAACAAAGAGTCCATAGAATGAAAAAATTAAAGATACAGAAAAACATAAATCAAGATGACAGAGCCAAATATATTAATATACACTAAACTTCTATATTAAGTTCTCAAAGTGGGTCAAAAGTCAAAATTGAACCATAAAAGGTCATCATCACCATGAAAGTGCACCAGAAGTCTGCCAAATTTGAGGAATACTTGTTCCTCTTTAAAATTATATATATATATATATATATATATATATATGCCTTATGACAACTGCAGTACTCAATTCCCACTTTCCACCTTTTGTTTTTTTTTTTTTAAGATTTTCTTTTTAGGGATGCCTAGGTGGCTCAGTTGGTTAAGCATCTGCCTTCGGCTCAGGTCATGATCCCAGGGTCCTCGGATCAAGTCTCGCATCAGGCTCCTTGCTCAGTGGGAGCCTGCTTCTCCCTCTACCTCTGCCTACCACTCCCCCAGCTTTGCGCTCTCTCCCTGACAAATGAATAAATACAATCTTAAAAAAAAAAAAAAAAGAGGGGCACCTGGATGGCTCAGTCATTAGGCATCTGCCTTGGGCTCAGGTCATGATCCCAGGGTCCTGGGATCAAGCCCTGCATCAGGCTCCCTGCTCAGCAGGAAGCCTGCTTCTCCCTCTCCCACTCCCCCTGCTTGTGTTCCTTCTCTCGCTTTGTCTCTCTCTGTCAAATAAATAAAGTCTTTAAAAATCAATCAATCTAACCATCTAATTAAAAATTTTTTTTTATTTTTAAGTAATCTCTACACCCAACATGGGGGCTCAAATGCACAACCCTGAGATCAAGAGTTGCATGCTCTACCAACTAAGCCAGCCAGGAGCCCCGCCAGCTCTCTTTTGATTGGCACTTTTTAAGGCAATATATGGACGTTCAACCCAAAAGACTATTTTTCTTTCTGACAAACAATATACAACTTAAGTCAGAGAATATTCAAGAAAAGGGCAGTTTAATTCCAGTGAACCAAATCATTCAATGCAGGATTTTCACATTTTTCTTCACTCAGAGAAGAAATTATACTCACTTCTTTTGGAGTGTGATTATCAGCAATTCTCTGACCTTCAAAGAGAAACCTGAGTGAATTCATTGGAACTCCCTAAAAAGGTAAAAAAATATATATATATACACACAAATCTTAAAACAGATAGTAGGAACTTTGAGCACAAAAAGCAAACATGAAAGCTTCAACAGAATACACTGAACATAAAGCTAGATATATCTATCCTATCATAATTACCATTTATTGAGTACCACCTATTTGCTAGGCCCTCCCTTCTATCAAGTATTTCACATAATCATGTTCACTGCAACAACCCTGGAAGGTAGGTATTATCATCTTATCTTCAGTTCACAGCTAAGCAATCTAAGGCATGGAGAGGGCATACAAAGCTAGATAGCAATTTAAGGCCCAATCTGTTCCTAAGCTTATACTCTCAACCACTACTCTATCTAGTTTCCTCTAAAATCTGTAAGCCAACATAAAAGATAAAATCTGAAATTGGATGAGCACCCTCACTAGTTTCCAACCATACAAGCAAAATTAGTTTTAAACAGATTAAATCACAGAAATTTGGTAAAGCACAGTAGCTAGCCAGGTGAGCTACAGTAGCCTGTGATGACATAGATAACACTGTTAAGTATCAAAAAAGGTATTAAAATATATTTTTCTAACGAGTTACTCAACAAAAATAGCTAAAAGGGAAGAAATGACTCATTTAAAGAGAAACTGCTTCACTAATAAGAATGAATCAAGAATCATTTCTTTAGTCCATAAGTACTAGAAAAATTAAAACTATCTTCCAATAAGTATTAACACATAAATATATGAGACCAGGCAAATTTTCCCTTCATTTGATTTTAAATTCTAGGCTTCTATAAAATAATACAATAAGCATGACTGAGAAAAGCAAAATATTTTTTGATTTTAATCATAGGATCTTTTAAAAAACATTATCTTTTGTTGAGGTCAAAAAAGTTTCTATAAAAACCAGTCTGAAACATGAAAATGTAAGAATGATTCAAAAAATGGGGCACCTGGGTGGCTCAGTTGGTTAAGCGACTGCCTTCAGCTCAGGTCATGATCCTGGAGTCCCGGGATCGAGTCCCGCATCGGGCTCCCTGCTCAGCAGGGAGTCTGCTTCTCCCTCTGACCCTTCCCCCTCTCATGCTCTCTCTATCTCATTCTCTCTCTCAAATAAATAAATAAATAAATAATCTTTAAAAAAAAAAAAAAAGAAAATACAGAATGCAATTAGCAGTAATCTGTAGTACTATATATATAAAGATAATAAACTAATAATATTAGTACTTAAATTTAACGTATGGCTAAGCAGTCATGATTAAAAACAAGGGAACTTCACAGTGATCACCAAAAATTACTTGCCTTTATTGTTATATATACTGGTAAGCCATTAAGATAGAAACATTCATATAGCTATCTTTACAACTCTGAGTTACTTTTCAAAAACACTTCTGCATACCTTATGAATTCAAATTTTGAAATGGGCCACAATGGGGAAAAAGGCAATTCAACAAGGTATAAGGAGTATTCTCCTTGATCTACTCATGGTGAAAATAATAAAAGATCATTTTTTTTGATAACCTTCCTTACAAGAAAAATTAATGACATATAAAGCACTGTATTTTACCATAACATACAAACCTGTCTTTGACAGTATGATTCTTTGAGTTTCTTGAGATGTGTTGTCATTTTCACTTTGAAGTGAATCTCACTGCTATCCTAAGGAGATAAAAGAAAAATAATTATCCCTTTGTGTAAATTATTTGCTTTGCTTGAAACAAATTAATTACACATATACTACACATAGAAACATAAACCCTGGACTTACACCTCCCCACCACAATATTTTTGAACATTCCTAACAAGGCTTATTAAAACATTCTAAACATCCTCAAAGTTACTTTATGTCCATTTCAAAAGAAATTTAATAAAACAAACCATCTGTCTTGGACGTTAAAATTAACAGTATAAATAAAAGCATGCATGTCAAAGAATGCATTCCTTCATAATTGCATATCTATTCTATTTTCAAAATAAACACACCCCAAAACAACTCAAAACAAAAAGTACCCCCCACAACTAAGTATTGTTGAAGGTGATCAAACCTACAAGAAAGGCATATACCATAAAATAACAGACAAGAAACTCATGTCTGCCAAAAAGTCACCCCACAGAGTCCAGTTTCTCTCCTATGAGTAAAATGAATAAAAACCTGAGTGAATCAAACTGATTTATGGGACCACAGATTCTTTTCTTCTACCCAGACATCAAACAATCAGGCAACCGTCAGAAAATAATACTGGTAAAATTTCAAAGCCAATCCTTATGATTACATATCACATTCACAAATGCATATTAGTGGAGGCTGCATGTTTACAATTCTTGTGACTATAAAGAATAACAAATTCTCTTCCTATGGATAATTTCACGGACAAAATTTCTATAGCATACCTCATGCCATACACTAAAATCATTTCCAGATGAACTAAGGAGCTAGCATTAAAATTTTTTTTTACTATTTTCTCTCTTTTAAGAATTTTTTCCCTAACCTTGACATTGGGAAATCTGTATTCTAAAGCAAGATTTTAGCCAAAAGACACAGCAAAAAAGTACACCGATAACTGAAAATGTCACCCCACAGTTAAGAGACACTAGAGAAAATATTCACAACAGATAGACAAGAAAAATCAAGGGGCACCTGAGTGGCCAGTTGGTTAAGCATCTGCCTTGGCTCGGGTTATGATATCCTGCCCCGCCCCCCCAGTCAGGCTCCCTGCTCAGTGGGGAGCCTGCTTCTCCCTCTCCCTCTGCTTGTGCTCTCTCCCTCTCTTTGTCTCTCTCGTAAAATAAATAAAATCTTTAAAAAGAAAAGAAAAATCAAAATATAAAGAATTCCTACAAATCAATAATTCTTAAAAAGGTAATTCATGGCATAGGACATATAGATCAATGAAAGAGAACTGACAGCCCAGAAATAAAGCCACATATATCTACAGTCAATTGATTTTTACAAGGATCCAACCAACTCAATGGGAAAAGGACAGACTTTCAACCAATAGTCTGGGACAAATGGATAGCCACATGCAAAAGAAAAGTTAGAATCTACCTCAAACCCACACAAAAAGTACTCAAAATCATCAAAAACTTAATGTAAAAACTAAAACCATAAAAAATTTTAGAAAAATCTATAGGTGTAAATCTTTGTGACCTGGGATTAGGCAATAGTTTCTTACATATGACTCCAAAAATAACAGCAAGAAAAGAAACAATAAATTGATCAAAATTAAAAACTGTGTACTGTAAGATACCCAAGAAAGTGAAAAGACAACCCAAAGATGGGAGAAAATATCTGCAAACCATCTATAAGGGTCTAATATCCAGAATATATAAAGAATTATTATAACTCAAAAATAAAAATAATAATCCAATTCAAAAATTGACAAAAGATTTGAAAAGACATTTCTTCAAAGAAGATGTACAAATGGCCAGTAAGAACATAAAAAGATGTTCAACATCTTTTTGGAATAGCATGTGACTCTTGATCTCAGGGTAATGAGTTCAAGCCCCATGTTCAGTGTAGAGATTATACACATACATACATAAGCACAATGAGATACCACTTCACACACACCAGGATGACTATAATAAAAAAAGACAGACAACAACTATTGACCAGAACATAGAAAAACTAAATCTTCACACACTGCTGCTGGGAACATAAAATTGTAAAGCCACTACTGGAGACCATTTGGCAGTTCCTCAAAAAGTTAAAGTCTACTATATTAGATCCAGTAATTCCACACCTAGATATATATCCAAGAGAATCAAACACATACATCCACACAAAACTGATATGTGAATGTTCAGAGCAACATTATTCATAATAACCAAACTGAGGAAACAACCCAAATGTCCGTTAACTGATAAATGGATAACAAACTGTGGTATATCCATACAATGAAATATTATTCAGCCATAAAAAAGAATAAAATACTGATGCATGCTACAACTTGGATGAACTTTGAAAATATGCTAAATGAAAGAAACCAGACACAAAAGACCACATATCATGATTCCATTTATATGAAATGTCCAGAATAGGCAAATCCACAAACACAGAAAATAGATTAATGGTTGCTAGAGGCTGGTGGGAGAAAGGAGGATAGGGAGTACAGCTAATGAATACTGCATGTCTTTTTGGGATGATGAAAATGTTCTGGAACTAAATAGTGGTAATGGTTGTATAGCATATTCTTATGAACATACAAAAGTCACTGAATCATACACTTTAAAACGGTGATTTTTGGGGTGCCTGGCTGGCTCAGTTAGGGGAGTGTGCAACTCTTGATCTCAAGGTTGTAAGTTCAAGCCCCATGTTGGGTGTAAAGATTACTTAAAATAATAAACGAACTTAGGGGGCACCTGAGTGGCTCAGTAGGTTGGGTGTCCCACTCTTGATTTCAGCTCAGGTCATGATCTCAGGGTCCTCGGATTGAGCCCTGTATTGGGCTTCCTGCTCAGCAGGGAGTCTGCTTGTCTGCCCGCCCCCGTTCACACATGCGCACTCCCTCTCTCTCAAATAAATCTTTTCAAAAACATAAAAATAAACTCGGGGGTGAGGGGTGGGAAGATGGGTTAGCCTGGTGATGGGTTAAAGAGAGCACGTTCTGCATGGAGCACTGGGTGTTATACGCAACAATGAATCATGGAACACTGCATCAAAAACTAATGATGTAATGTATGGTGATTAACATTACATAATAATAAAAATAGATAAATAAAAATAAACTCGGGGCACCTGGGTGGCTCGGTTGGTTAAGTGTCTGACTCTTGATTTCAGCTCAGGTCATGATCTCAGGGTCCTGGGATCTAGCCCTGCATCAGGCTCAGTGCAGAGTCTGTTTGTCCCTCTCCCTCTGCTCCACTCCCCCAACCCACTCTACCTCCCTCCCCCCTCGATCTCTCTCTTTCTTTCTCAAATAAATAATGAAACCTTAAAAAAAAATGCACTCTTTAATAAAATGATTTTTATATGTGAATTAGATATTAATTTAAAATTTTCAAAATAAGGGTGCCTGGGTTGCCCAGTTGGTTAAGCATCTGCCTTTGGCTCAGGTCATGATCTTGGAGTCCTAGGACTGAGTCCCACATGGGGCTCCCTGCTCAGCGAGGAGCCTGCTTCTCCCTCTCCCCTTGCTGGCTCCCGCTGCTCTCTCTCTGTCAAATAGATAAATAAAATCTCTAAAAAAAAAAAAAATCTTAAAAAATAAAATTTTCAAAATAAGATAATCATAGAAAATGGGAAAAGCATATGAACAAAGAATCTAAACGTAGTAGGTCAGTAGTAGCCTAATGCTACATCACAATGCCTACTTACTCACTTCATCTCATCACGTATGCATTTTATCATCTCACATCACAAGGATGAGTACAGTATAGTAAGGTATTTTGAGAGAGCACATTCACGTGACTTCTATTACAGTAGTTATAATTCTATTTTATTATTAACTATTATTGCTAATGTCTTACTGAGCCTAATTTACAAATTAAACTTTACCAGAGGTATATATGTATAGGAAAAAACACAGTATTTATAGGGGTTCAGTACTATCCACAGTTTCAAGTATCCAATGGGGGTCTTGGAACATATCCCCGCAGATAAGAAGAGACTACTATATGAAGATTCATTCCTCTAACAATTTTCAACTAACCTTATTATCAGTATCTCAAAAAAGGCCAATAAAGATACAGTCTGAGAAAAAGAGGCGCCAGGAAAGAGAAAGGGGTCAGGAAAAGGGCTAAAAGGCCCTTTGATTTTAGTATTTACTGTATCTGCCACTGAAGATGCTAACCAAAAAAAAAATGTTTTTAGAGAAATTAAGATAATCTAAATCTGCCTAGATCAATAAAGCAGTATCAGCCTCTTCTACCTACAACAACAGATGCACATATAGTAAATGAAAATGCCATTTTTATTTTATTTTAAAGATTTTATTTAATTTATTTGAGAGAGAGAAAGCACGTGAGTGTGCGTGTTTGCAGGAGGGGGAGGGTGCAGAGGAAGAGGGACAAGGAGACTTCCTACTGAGGGAGAGCCCAACACTGGCCCGATCCCAGGACCCCAAGATCGTGACCAGAGCTGAAGTCAGACGCTTAACTGGCTGAGCCACCCAGGTGCCCCCAAAATGCCATTTTTAAATAATTTGCCTTATTTAAATCATTTTTCCAGTGTCAGAAATTACTCACACTTTAGAGAGTTAAAGGAGAAAAATAATGAAACTCACCTGTCCAATGACTTTGAGTTTAATGTATTCTCCTTCCTTCTTATCCCCCAAGTCCTCAGTTGAAGGTTTTGCCTCCTGAAAGAAACGTACATTTAAAAAGTTCCTATATGCTATTTTACTTACTTAATGAGTACCCATCATTCTGAGTACAAAATCTGCACTTGAGAATGTTAAAAGCATTTATTTTCTCTGCCACGCCAATTAAGCAAAAAAAGCCCTAAGTCAATTGCTGTTTCAAACACCAATGCACTAGAAATCAAAAAAGAGATCTCTTTCATTATAATATCCTACAGTAATGGTTCTAAAACTGCGCCATGCATAGGAATCACCTGAAGGACTTTTTAAATGCCTGCTGGGCCCCACGCCCAGCTTTTTATTCAATAGGTCTGGGCTAGGGCTGTAATTTGCATTTCTAATAAGTTACCAATTGGTGCTAATGCAGCTGGGTAGAGGAACAACCTAGAAACCACTACCCTACAGTCATCTCCTATTAGAAGTAGCTTGTTCTCCATAAATCCTTAAACATTCTGAATTCAAGATTCTCTTCTCACAGCCTATCAGGAGAAGTTATCTACTCCAATTGCAAAACTGTACCCAGAAACATAAATTAACCATATAACCATAAGCAAAGTCTATTTGGGAAGGAAAATTAAAGAGTATATTAGCCTAACGTACTCTAGAGTCAAATCAGCTTTATATCATCTACTTATTTTAGACTATCTGAAGCAGTCTATCCAATTTTAAAAGAGTAAGTTTGGCTGAAAAAACTTAGGGGAATAAGTGCAGTAAGTAAAGTACAGCGCAGGCAGGGAAAGGAAAGAGGAGACAAAATTCGAAGAGAGAAAAGAGGGTTATAAAATAATTTCAAATGAAAGGATACTGAAATGAAAATGAAGTTAAAAGAATAAATTAGTTAAAACAATTTCATCATGAAATATCTAAGAAAAGCAAGCCATTTTACTAAAGGAAGTAGCCTGGAAAATTTCACTCAATAATGTGTTAAAAATAGCTTTCCTGTGTACCTTACCTTAATCTGGCCACCAAATTAGCCATGTTTAAATATATACTCTTTTGTAAAACATGTAACAATTTCTGTTAATCCACACTTTTTAAGAATATAACCAACTATGTTGTATTTTACAAGTAAAATAACAGGGCCATTACTACCTGCATATCTCCTGCCAGTAACTTAAAATTAAAATTCAACATTCAAAATTTAACAGAACATTATTAAACTACAAGTAGCTTTTAACTTTAAGATATAGGATAGAGTCCACTGTAATGCTTAGACAACAGAATTGACTTCGTTAGTGTAAATCCTTGCCTGTTCTTCATTCTGCAGGACTTTCAACATTTGCTGATTACTGCATATTACGGCAGCAGACAAAATGCACCTTCTTTAGTGAGACAGTATTTCACCTGAAAACTAGAAGACTGTCTTTAAATATAGTCTCACCACCACATTTCTATGAATTTATATTCATAGTAAACAGTTGCTTCTTCCTTTAAGTATCTAGGAAGGATAAGGACAGTTTATTCCATGCAGTGAAGAGCAATATAGAGCAATGAAACCCTGAGTTCTCTTTTACTGCGAGGAAAAGGGGTGTTAGGAAGCGGTTGTTTGAATTAACACAAAGGAGGAGAACCCTCCACCCCACCCCCAGCAGCAATTCATCAGCACAATGGGAGTGATTTTGCTCCAGTTTCTTAGCTAAGATAGCTATAAAAGCTACTCAAGGACAAAAGAGTTCTTTCCTCTCCTCCAATCCTTCGTTCACACTGCTTTTCTAAAGCACAGCTTCTCTGATTGGATAACTACTCTATCAAAAAGCATTAGTAGCTCCCAGTACTCAAGGCCTAGAACCAAACTCCACAGCACCTAATTCAGTTCCTCCCTTATCAAACTCAATTCTCATTTTTCCCTCACCACTTTCTTTACAAACCTGAGGACTCAGTTAAGTTGGAGTATTTGCTGTTCCCCAAATAAGTCTATCAGCATTCTTCCACCTTCAGCCCTTTGTGGTTCCTGTTTCCTTTATCTAGAATATATATCCTCCCTCAACCACTCCTGAAATCACCTCACAGAAATCCATCCCACACATCATTTGAAGTCTAGTATTAAAAAAAAAACTCTTCCAGGAACCACAGCACCCCCTAATCTTCCAACTGGGACTAATATTTTCCTTTCATGTTTGTATTTGCAATTTATTCATATCTTCCACGGCATTTATTTTCCAATTTTAAAATACCCCCTCCTCAACCATCTTCTCTAGTAGTCCTCATCAAATTTTTCTTCAAACTTCTTGTAAGAGTACTCAGCATTAACTGTCTCCACTTTCACTATAATCTGGTTTATACGTTCGCATTTCACTTGATACTGCTCTCACCAAGGTTACCAGTTCCAAGGTAACCAGACTCCTTATTGCTAAATCCATCAGACAGTTTCAAACCTTATTTTTAACTCTAACACAATAGACAGTGATGCCCTCTTCGTTGGATACTCTCTACCTTTGGCCTCCAAGTTTCCACTCTCCTCTCGCCTTGACTAATTCTTTAAATGCTGGGGCTCCTCTGGATTCCACGTTTTCAATCCTCTGCTTTGTCTCCTTCAGTGACCCATGATTCCAACCACTTTTCAGATACTAATGACTCACAGTCATCCTCTCCAACCAGACAACTTTTCTGAGTTTTACATTCATTTATCCAAGTGCTTGACCATCTCCACTTTGGATGTCCCATGGGTACCTGAATATAAGTATCGAAAACTGAATGCATTATCTCTAACTCCTCTGTTAGATTTAACTTCTCCTTCCTGAAAACCACAATAAAAAAAGAAAAACAATTCCTCCTGGATTCCCAATTACAATAAATGGTCACCATACACTCAACTGCCCAAAACAGAAACTCAGGTGTCATCTTTGGCTAGTCTTCCTCTCTTAAATCTCACACTTAATCATTCATCATTCTGACAATGTTATCTCTTGGTGGCTCTCAAGTTTATTCTTCTCTCCATTCCACGGCCTTCTTTGAGGACTCATTGTTGTGCATGAATATTACTGCAACAGATGCCCCCAGTCTTCCTCCCTTCAATTCTCCAAACTACCACCAGAGCCATCTCTTCAAAATGCAATCTGATTTGCCCAGAATCTTCAGACAGAATCTTAAGTTCAAATTCCTTAGCTGACATACACGGATCCTTCATGTACTAGTCCCTACCTAGCAATCCAGCCTTATTTTCCTACCTCTCTTCCTAATAATATCCTTTGCTCCAGCCATATTGATCTACAATTCCTTACACATGGCACCCTCTACCCTATCTCCACCATCTCTGTACATGTTAATCACCTCTGCTTAGAATGCCCTTTCTTACCTTCTTTCCCTTTCAATACCACTCAAGCATCACTTCCTACAAAATGATTTCTCTAATCACCCTCTTAAACATTCCCATAATGCTTACTTTCATCTATTAATCTTACTTTTATCTACTAATGCTTACTTTTATCTATAATAACCACATATTTGCATTTCTGTATCTTCTACCAGATTGAGTTCCTCACTGGCATACTTCATTGTATTTCTAATCAAGCACAATGACCAGTACTTTGAAGATATTCAATATGCTTGTTAAATAAATTAACGTTTTCTATGACAGCTTTGTCTTGACTTCCCTACAAGTTCACAAGGAGAGGACCCAAGTTTTTTCATCTTTATCCTCTCTGTAATGCCAGGCAAATACTAGGCAATTATTTAAAGCTTGTTGAATAAAATTAACATTATTTTATGTATCATACCACAAAATCTTAATAATGCTTCATACTTCTACTATACACAATAGTTAGTCCAGATAAAGATCCTTTCAGTTTTTTATATTCACAGTTGGAAATAAAAGATAATTCACTTCAACTGCGTAAGAACATGTGAACAACTAGGATATGAAATTTCCAAAACTAAGCTGCCAGTTTCCCTAGTCACTACATTTTGGTGATCTCTTCCCAACTCTGAAGCACTATGGCAATGTCATCTGTATCACTTGTTTAACACCTCCTGCTTGCCTAACGCAGTCATCCAACCTTTCATGTACCTTTTTTTTTTTGACAAACTAGTCCGAAAAATGAGAAGATCTTGGACAAAAAAGGCCAAAGACTGTCTCCAGTGATCTCAGTGTCTTTTTTATGTCTTCTTTCCTTCTCTCCCCCGTAAAAAAGCAGCTAATACAGAACAGTATGGAACACTAGTTACAAAACAGTGAAAGCATTCATTAAGCACTGGGTCTGGGGACACTAGGTCACCAGAAAAAACAGAATCCCAGAGAGGGCTGGTTGATTTGGCTGCAAAGGATACATAGCCCTAGAACAGAAGAAACTGGTAATGGAAAGAAAAGTAAATATATGTATGAGATCAAAGAGAGGAACCAGAAACCTCTAAATTTTCAGGTCTGTGTCATCCAGAGCCTGAATCATGGTAAATGGAATGGTAAAGGAATTTACCAGGCACGAGGCACTATCAACTCTTCCATCCAAGACATAGAAGGAACAGCCTGAAAATAGAAGATGGCTGGATTTGGAAAGAGAACTAAACTGGAAAGAACAAAAAACCCAACAAATGTACAAAATTCATGAGAAAAAGTTTACTGTGCCATTTCAGAGTCAAAAGAACAAGAACTCTGCTTAGAAGTATTGGCAATCAAAAGAAGGAAGAAAAGAAAGAGAAAAGAAGGAAGGAAGGAAGGGAAAGGAAAGGAAAGAAAAAGAAAGAGAAAAGAAAAGAAAAAAGCAGCATTGGCAATCAGTATGCTGACAATTTAATCACATGAAGGGAGCATCACACTTAACTACCTCCAATTTGTCAATGACCCTTCCAAGCTGTAGAAGAATTGTTCATTCTTGGGGGGTAGGGGGAAGAGGCAGGAATCCTGGGGAAATACATATTTACTCTTATTTGATGACATTAACAAATCTTCATTTTTTAAGGTGTGATAACAGTATTGTTAAACAGTATTTTTACTGTTTTTTTTACAGTATTTTAAAATGTGTAACAGCATTGTTAAAACAAAAAGTTCTTCTCTTTTAGGGATA